GGAAGAAGGAAAGGAACTAACATTTATTAAGTGCTTACTATATGCCACTGCACCAAATGCCACTGACTAGCTGTGTGATATGAGACAAATCACGTGATCTTTCTTCTGCTCTGTTAACTTGTCAATAAAATGAGGGCATGACAAATCCTGGACTATAATAGGCTCTTTGTAGGTGTGTTTCATAGTCCTGTGTTTGGGCAAACATATAATCGATAAGAACAAATCTATGAGGGGAAAAAAAGATTTAGATAGGAGAAGTGACAGAAAGCACAGACCATAGGATTATAGGTTTAGAGTAGGAAAGGTCCTTAGAGGGGCCCTCATTTTACAGATGGGAAAACTGAGGCATACAGGTTAAGTGACTCTCCCATTGGTGAGTTCCTTCGGGGCCCTCCATTTGGGGGAGGGGCCCTTGCTTACCATCCTTTGTTCCCCTACCTCAAAAGGCTCTGTTTCTACTATTTTGACTCTCAGGACTCCTCAGCCAAATTCCTTTTCCCCATTCATTCCCATCCCTGTAATGCTTTTCAGTTCTCTTTTGTGGGTCATCTTCCCCCATTAGAATATAAACTCCATGAAAGCAAGGATTATCTTTCTTTACATAGCAGAGTGCATGGCACACAGTCAGTGCTTAGTAAATGCCATTGGCTTGTCTTACCTAAAATACGCCGTGCTGCATGCTGAGGATACAAAATCAAAAAAAGAAATGGTGCCTACCCCAAGGAAGCTTACATTCTATTCTCACTAGAGATTATGATTATCTTGTGCAAAAGTACACAAAACATGTTTCTGAGAACATGGAATCTCTAAGAAACTAGATGTCTAAATCTCTAGTCTAAAGGACTCTGTTTCTTTCAGAGGGTTCCTGAAGAGAAGGGACTCCTTGGGTAGCCTTCACAGCCCTCACAGTGACACACTGGGTTCATTTTAGTTCATTTATTATCCAAGTACATCAAGGCCTCAAACCACATTCATTCTGTGAAAAAGATTGCCCTGGTATTTATATCCATTCCTTTAATGGATATAAATTTAATGTACCGACCTCAACGAGGTGCATAATTTCTCCCTTTCTTTCAAAAAATATTTTTTAGCTAAAAAAGGAAAAAGTGCAAATTGTGAGGGGAAACTGTCCCAATAGCCACTGCCTTTAACAAGGCAGATGCCCTGTCACCAGAGGTTAACAGAATTCCCTCCTTGTGGAGTCTGAAGGCCTGGCTGCTAATGTCTTCAAGCTGGCCCTATGCAGGAGGACCCAGGCTATGCTAGGTGTGGTGAATTCAAAGATGCCCAAAACCAATTCCTTGTGCTCAAGAGAGGACAGCACTGCCAGGGGCATGCCCGTTCGGAGAGCACTCTCTCCTTTTCTTAGAACACAGGGGTGTTCTCACCGCTTTCACATGCTAACTAAGCTTTTGTAAAAGCCAATTCTTCCTGACACCCTCAACCACAGATGGCCACAATGAAGAAAGTAACATAAAGGAAAAGAAACCTACACACTACTTCTAGGAAACTTGGTTAGGGGATAGAGCACAATAAAGGAATAACCACAGTGGATAGAGTACTGGACCTGGAGTCAGGAAGACTTGAGTTCAAAATTGCCACACTTACTGTGTGACCCTGGACAAGTCACTTCACCTTGTTTGCCTCAGTTTCCTCATCTATCAAATGAGTTGGAGAAGGATAATGGTAAACCACTGCAGTATCTCTGCCAAGAAAATCCCAAATGGGGTCACAAAGAGTCAGACACAACTGAAAAATGACTGAGTGCTAGACCTTGAGTCAGGAAGACTCAAATTCAAATCTACCCTCAGACACTTACTAACTGTGTGACCCTGGACAAGTAACTTGACCACTGTCTGTCTCAGTTTCCTTATCAGTAAAAATGGGATAATAATAGCACCTACCTCCTAGGGTTATTGTAAGGATCAGATAAGATAATAGTTTAAAAAATGCTTTGCAAACTTTGAAGTGTCATATAAATATTAGCCACTATTATGAAGACTATATAAACAAATCCTGTTGTGAACAACAGTTAGCTTAATGCTCATCATATTATAGGTACTTAATAAATGCTTGTGAACTTTCTGTTTTCAGTCTAGAACTAATAATCAAAGCATGAAATCTAAAAAAAATTCCATTAATATTCACTCATTTCTGTTGGATGATAAATTTGTATTTTTGTTGGGCATTCTTTGAGTGAGATGTGCCAAGAACAAGAGATGCAGCTATTACAATTCAGCTGATTCTAACTCCTAAAAGTTTTCTGGCAATCTCTTCGCCTCATCATGGTCCATGTTTGGAAGAGACCACATGCGCTGTTCACTGGGTCTTTCACAGAAGCCGTTTCAGCTGAGTGTCAAACGAACACAAAGCCAGCATGTTTATTATGATTAATTACTAATGTCCTCTGGCTAGGTGTCATAGCCTTGGAGATGCCTGAGCCCTGTAGGAGCAGCCTGAGCTTGGCAAGGCCTGATCTGCCTCTTTATTGCTGCATGGATCCCAACCCTCACTATATCAAACAGGATCAGCGAGGTCTCCCTTGGTTCTGATGTTCTATGCCTCTGCACCAACACTCAGGACAGTTTCCCTGTGATGGTCCCTGCTTGTAGACAATAGCCCTCGTGAGTGTCCTAGCGCACACAATAGAAACCAGCAGCCCTTACTTGCCGCAAAGGGGCAAGTGAAGGCATTATTCTAATCCTCCAAATACTAAACAGAGTCGCCCAGAGCTCTGGAAAGGTCTTAGCAAAGGAGATAATGAGTGCAAAATTCTGTGAACTTTAAAATGCCATATACATTTATACTGTTAGTATTTTAAATGCTAGGGGGAAATACCACTTCACTGTGAAAAGGAAATCTGAAGTCTTTGCCCTTGAAAAGGAATAAGGTATTGTCCATTCTATAGAACTACAGAGAATTATTAGTCTGCAGTGTTAGAATGATTTTCTTTTAATCACATGTCCCACCAAAAACCCTTTGAAAAACACACACATAAATTCTGTTGTATTTTGGATGAGATGGTAAATGTAGGAACATTCTTATTGTGAGTAATCACAAGTACTGCAGGCACGGGCCATGTGCTACTTTTCTGGTCTATTACAAATTCCAGAAAAAAAAAGTATCAGGGGAAAAAAAAAATCCAGTAGCAAAATTCAGATAGATCAATGGTAATTTTTCTCTGTCCTCTTCTGGCCACTAAGAGATTTCCACTGGCCAGTTTTCTGTTGTATCAGTAACAAAGCATTTTGATCCTTAGGATCCCAATCCAGGAAGTTCTCTTGTGTCGACTCCCAACAATTCCCAGGAACACAAGCACACAAGCACACCCCAGCAGAAGGGACACAATGGATTGTGAAGGATAGCTGCATTGTAAGCCTGGCTTGGCCAACAAGTCTCATTTAACCTGTGGGTATCAATGATTACACTGCAGCTCTAAGCAACCCTCTGATAAATCAGAGCACTCTGGGTGATCTGATTGCTTACAGGGAGGGGGGAGGGCAGGTAGATAGCGACATAGCCACATCCCAACATAACACGACAAAATTAGAACTAGACAGAAGAGAATATGGTAATTTCATGAGCTCTGCTGTAGAAGGCCCTGAAACCTGATCACCAAGGAATATTTTAATCTGAGCTTGAACTTTTGCCAAGAATATACTCAAAAACTTTTTTTTGCACATACATTTAAAGGAGAAATAATCTATATTTAACATCCTGCAGCAGACCAACTATAACCCCTCCAATACCTCCTCCTAAAGCATGCCATGTTAACAAAAGGACTCAGCACCCCATGCCTGTATGAAATGTGCTCCCAGCACCATGGAAAAACCAAATGACAAAAGGCAGCAAAATGTTGACAGCAACCCAGCAAAAAAAGCTGCACATATGTTGAAAGGAATCTACATGTCATTTAGAAAGCATCTCACATCACTGCTCAAAGCAAATTAAGATAATCCATCCCTTGGGGATTCTCACAAAGACACATAAAAATGCTTTATGACCTGATGTCTGTATTCAGATCATGTACTTTTGGTCAAATTCTATTAATTGTCATGGAAGATGGAGAAAGTACTCTAGGGCCTCATCTCCCAAATTGGTACTCAGGTGTCCGAGTTAAGGGCACAGCCACCAGACTCTCAGCAAGGACTTTTCAACTGTAATGTAACACCACTGACCTAGAATATGCCCCCACCCTGTTCTTCCTCCAAATATGGAAAAAACAAAACACAACTAAACAAAACTATAGAGATACCATCAGTTGGTGCCCCAAGCCTCCAAACAGCCAGTGTGTTGAAGGCTGCAGGTCTCAATGTGCTATAGAAATTTCTGCATTCAGGATAATCACCCAGGAGAGAAAGATCAGCATTTGTGATCCTGGGATGGATTTGACAAAAAGAAAGTTAATTCTCTCATACTGTTGCTGCAGGGACTTTCAACCAGATACACCTTTAAGAAATCAGGGCAAAGAAAGAACAAAATAAAACTAAAACAACCATAAAGCAGGAAATGACTTTTCTGCTATGCCTGTAAGGTCACAGATTTGTTTAGGGGGAAAAAACTCCCATGTGACACAGTTCCTGCATAAAGATGGATATTCCATGAGAAAGACCCATAAGAAGTACCAAGACTAACTTTATATTCTTTCCTTCAGACCCCAAGTTGATATTGTACATTTAACCTTGAAATTATTATTGAGAAACTACTTTTAATTCCCTTGTAACACATTTTTTTGTGTGTGTGTGTCATGGAAACCTGACAATTCCTATGTGAAATGAACACAGTTTCTGCATCATGCCCACAACCATCCGCCCATCAGATAAAGCATCCTATTTCTTTACAAATCCCATGGCTGGGGGCCACCATCTCCTCTAATCAGCTGGTCCCAGTGGCTTTCCCCAGAATTTGCCCTCTGTCTAAAGAAAGCCCAACATGCTTCTGCCGGACACAAAACAAAGGAATCCAGGCAAGATTCTTTGCCCTGGTCCATGCAAAGATACCTTTTTCTTCCGATCTCGGGACCGTTTTCGATGTTTCCTTTTTCTCTCAGTCTCCTCTTCAGCATTGATTTCTAAATCCCTGTTTTTCTTTAATTGAGACGCTGCATGAGCCATAATGCATTTAAAAAATAATTTAAAGCAGAGCTTCCTTGTAGAAAAAAAAATAGGTGATTTCTTCGGGCACCTTTAATCAGCTTCACAGAAACATTCCAATCACTGACAAGAGTCCTTTTGGCCAGAAGCAGGAAGACATTAAAAACACAGAGATGTTGTCCAAAGCTTAGGCTTAGGAAGAAAAATGCCTGGTCTCGAGCTTCCTCCTACACCTTCCTTTACCTGAGCCTTTGCAAAAGGGTGCAGCCATAGTAATGCATTTAACGTAATGAAAAAGACAGCTGGGACAGAGAAGGCTGCTGTATTGTGGCTGTATCCCCTGCCACCAGCTGGAAGTGCCTAAGTCTTTTCACGGAAGGGGGAACACAGCAAAGGATGCTCCCCCATAGGAGAAAAAATCCAAAGTCACCACACAGGCAGCAGACACCAGCCAGCACCAATTCTGAAAATCTATTTTAGAAACCCTCGAAAAAAGGACAGGGCTGCAATTTATCCATCCCTGCCAGGGCTGCTTGGAGAATCATTTAACCTCTAAGAGAATGGAGCAGTTCCGACTTTAGGTTAACTGCTGATGGTAACCAGAAAAATTATATAAATTTTTTTTTTAATAAAATGTCACTCTGCTACGGAGACCCTGGGTGCATTATGTAGGAAACAATGCATGCTTTGCTGGTCCCAACAGTGCGTCCTTTATGCTGAATTATCAATCCCAGTGCATTTGGTGGGAGAGGATTACAGAAAGCCTTGTCTTTGGAAAACCAACATGCTTATTACAACACATCATACAGAAAGATGTGAGCGTGCTGGCGTGCCGAACAGATGCCTGATTCATCGGACAGTCCCCAGCACCGCTCTCTCGCTGTAGCCAGAATGGGAAATCAGGATTGGAATCCCCTGGTCTGAGTGGTTAAATATGGAGATTGGGGCTTTCATGTTAGGGCTGGCCTCAATCACCTTACTCTTCCTGACACCTGAGTCCCTCAATGACTGCAGCTGCTGAATATTCATCATGGGAGGGGGAAGTAGCAGCAGTATTCAAGGCCTGCAGAAGTCCCAAGGAAAAACTGCAGTGTAAGCATGGCAGGAGACATGCAGGAATCCTTCCCCACCCCCCAGACACAAGCAAGACACTCCTGTGGCTTTACGTAAAAATCCCTCACATTATCAAGAGATAGAATACTAAGGATTTGAGTCCTGTGTGGCAAAAAGAAAATCCTTCACAAAGCCTGGCAGGATGAAATGAACAGATCACACGGTCAGGATACGTAGTCTGCCCCAACGGCCCAGAGTTTATGATTGTGAGTACCCGAGACTCTGCAGGGTTGACTGCTCAGGGGTTGGCTCGGCCTGCAGCATAGCACCCCGAATTCAGAGAGCTCACATGAGGCTTTGTTTGGACTCCTAAGGAGCACCGTTGACAGGCCTCTGATACCTGGAAGGTACAGATTCCCACAAACAGCCACAACCCGGCCACCGTGCTTCAGACTTCATGACAGAAGACCCTCCTGAGGCCTTTGGGAGCATGTGACAAAACTGGAAACCACCTTCGGCTTTCAGCTATGGAGCCTAAAGCAAAGGCAGTCTGCAGGGGATTCTGGATCCAGATAGATAATTAAAATGCAGGCTTATCCTAGGCTTCACCGTCATCTTCAGGCAGTTTCCTGGTTTGTAATATGATAGCCCATGAGGCCATGGATGCAACTCTAGGTCAAGATCATAAGCTGGACGGGCTTGAGAGGCCGTGGAGGCCAAGTTTTAACTTTATGTAGAAGAGTCCAACCTCTTATTTTATAGACAAGTCAACTGAGACCCAGAGAAGTCAGTGACTTGCCCAAGGTCACACAGCTAGGAAAGCACTGAAGAGTGATTTGGACTTGGGTCTTCTGAGTCTAATTCCACAGTAGAATGTCAGCTCTAGTCACAGAGCTCTGACCTATACCAAGCTAGAAAGGCTTGGCTATGGGTCCCTTAGTGTTGTCATGACTGGGACCAACCATAGCTATTAACATAGGTTGATGAAGGTCTACCATTTTGATGACTTTTTCAGCCATAGAAACTCTATCTTTTTTTTAATAGCAACTCTTAACATCATAAAGATTCCTCAGTGGAGGGATAACCCTCCGATAAGATTGTAGTTTGTCAAAAGGTCGGGGTCTTGAACTGGAAGGGGATTCAGAGTCCATTCAATCTAAATGCCTCATTTTACAGATCAGGAAATAGAAGCCTAGGAATAAATAAGGGGCTTACTCAAGGTCCTGCAGGTAGTGTCAGAGGCAGGATTTGAACCCAGATCTTCTGATTCTAAAGCCAGTTTTCCTTCTATTGTATCAGGAAGTCACGGATTCTTGAAGTCAGTTTGTGTGAAATCTGAAATCTCCACGTTGTAAAAGAGCGAGTAACAGTTTCCAAATTCAGTGACCTGGGTCCAAAGAGAGCGACTTCAACCCAACATACGCTTATCAAACAAATCAAATGCTTCTTTGCTAGGAGGAACTGTTTAAGTCATTTTAATAGGCAGGTGGGGAAAAATCCACAGACTTTATTTGCATGTGTTTTCCACATACAAAGTATTCCATACTTTCCAGGAACAGTCACAGAAATACATTTTTTCCTGCTATAAAATAATTGAAGAGTCCAGTGAAAAAGTTGGCTCAGTGCCCACTGACTCCTGGAAGGCTTCTCTTCCCCCTATATTAGAGACACCAAGGATCTCTAGAAATATCACTATGATGGCCTTTTTGGCCAAAGAAATCCCTTCATGGGGGTGGAGAGAAAGAAAGGGAAAGGCAGAGGGAGAGGGAAAGAGGGAAAAGAAGAGGAAAGAGAGACAGAGAGGGAGAGAGAGGGAGAGGGAGAGGAAGAGAGGGTGGGGTGGGGAGAATGGAGTAGAAGAGCCCGGATGATTAAAAATGGCAGAAGTCTCATTGTGTGTTTAATTTGGTTTAGATCAGCAAAGGTTAATCTGAAACTTTGAAAACAAGTGACATGTATTATTCAACAGCGCTCTGACCTATTTACTTCTGGGCTTCCTGGCAAAATACAGAAGTTGAGATGCCTTATCTTCCTGGCCTCTACCCTTGCATAACACCCTTGAAAGCCCTTACTGCCAGCCATCTGCATTGCTATCTCCTTCCTCCACCTGACTCTAAGCCCAGGAGTGTAGGAATGTTGTCTTAGCTCCAAGCCCTGCCATCTTCCCCAGCACCTTGCCCCATGCTCCACACTTAGTATACACTTCTCAACATTGTTGAATGTTGAAATTACTGAATGAATAGAAGAATGAAGCATGGTGCTAAGGATCTAATCTAGAATCAGAAGGTCTGTGCTCAGATTCCAGCTCTGCCAGTTACTACCAATGAGTGAATATCTAAACCATTATGGGTCTCAGTTTCCTCATCTGTAAAACAAGAGGGTTGGACAAGATGACATCTAGGGTCCCCTTTGGCTCTAAATTGAAATGAAAAAATGAATGAATCCTCGACACAATTGGGGTTTCTTAAACTTTTTTTGGGGGGGGGACGTTGTGGGCCCCTTTAATAGCCTGCCAAAAACGATGGTCTCTTCTCAGAAGAATGGCTTTAAATGGATAAAATAAAATGCGTAAGATTACAAAGTAAACCAGTTACATTGAATAAAGATGTAATTTTTTTCCTATCCAAATTCACAGAGCTCCAGAAATTTATGCATAGAACCTAGGTTAAGAACCCCCATTCTATGCACTATATGTGTATATATGTATGTATCTATGTATGTATATAAATGTATATATTTTTTGAATGATACAATAGTGAATGGATGTAACTTGAATTTATGTACCCAAATAACCATTCCTTCATAACAGTTTCTTAGTGATGGTCCAGTTAGATATCATGGAGCTGACTTACAGGTAAAGACAGGGAGAGCTGGTGGCTGAGGGGACATCAGAAGAAATGATAACAACCTTAAATCCACAATGATCTAGGCTGGTTGTGGGGAGGGGCACAGGGGACTGAGATTCCCCATCAGGGAGGACCCACTCACCCCCTGCAGAATTATGTGAACTCAGTGTAAATCCCTCATGCCATGGTACCCACTTTCAGGTTTTTCAGTCCCTTGGGAGATGGATGCCTAAGGAATCTTGGCCTTCCCTTGCTCCACCCTCTATCAGATCCACCCTTGGCCAATGAAACCATCACTCTTGCAAACACCTGCTATTGTCTGGTGCTTAAAGGAAACTGACAATCAGGTATTGGTTATTTAACCAGACAAAATCAATTCTAAAGGTTTATTTCTTGGAAAAAAGGCTTTTTGGTGCTCTCAGTTTCAAGGACACAGAAACTTTTGATGGCAACTTTACCAAATGAGGTAAGAGTGACCTGTAGATTGTTCATTCTATCCTTGACTAAAAGATCACGCCAAGCCACGTGTACTCCTGACTCAGTCTAACCAGCCTCCAAGGCACAATAATCACTTATCTGTAAGCTCCTCACTCGCTGGAAGAGCAAAGGCAAGTGACCCTTTAAAAAGAATCGGGATCTCTCCTTTCATTGGCATTGAGCACTCCCCTGGAGGAAATTCCCTCTACCAATGAATAGGAAAACTAGTAGCTAATAGGCTGAGAGTAACCCTAGGCACTAAAAGGTTAGGTGACTTGCTTAGGGTCACAAAGCCAATATGAAGCAGCGGAGGAGGACTGAACACAGTTCTTCCCAACTCCACGGCAGACTCTATCTACTGCACCACACAGCCTCTCAACTGCTGCTAGTGGTTTCTAAAAGTGAATATGCCTGAATTTAACATCAGATAGTATTTCCAGGGTCTCGCTAGTTCCAGCCATCCTATTGTAGGATACATTTTTCAATACATAAGAAAAAAAACTTCAAAAATATTAAGCTTGAATAAAGTTTAACTTTGGAAAATAAATATCCAAATGTGAGTCTCAAGAGTTCATCCCATTCAGGAATTATTATCAGAGAATAAGGTTCGAGGGCTAATGATAAGAATGAAAATGTTATAATAAT